GCCGGTATCAGACAGTGACGCGCCGAATAGCGACAACGACGGGAATGTCAGCGGGGAGTCCCGCAGTGGCAGCAGAGCCGTCGCCGTCGCTGCCGAGGCGGAGCGGAGCCTTATCCCCTGCATGGGCAACCCGCTCACCCGCATCCCGTGTGGCTCGATCACCGTGAGGCTGGAGCAAACGACGCTGCTGCTTGGCACGGCCTCGGCCGGCGGCACCAGCTCCGGGAGCCTCGTTGCGAGCTTCCCCACGGCGACGCTCGCCTTCGCGGAGTGCCCCAGCGAGGGGGACACGGCGGTGAAGAAGGTGCTTGAGCTTCGCACGGAGAACGTGGAGCTGTTCCGCCCTGGCGCCGTGAAGGTGCTCATCCTCGGCTTTCGCGGGACCAATACGTTCGAGTTCTACTCCCGGCAGGTGTTTGGCGAGGGGGAGGTTGGCTTCATGCTGACGCTGCTCCAGTCGAACCCGTGGACCGGCAACCCGCGCTTTCAGGACTTTCAGGAGATGATTCAACTCGTGCGCTCCTTCACCGCGAAGAGCAACGCCGAGGTGTTCCACCACTTTGGGGCTCTCAGCCGGGATTGGTCCGCGGAGCTAAACTCGCCGTCCCCATCAAGCGCGGAGGAGGCTGCGCGACACAACGCCGACAGCCAGACCGCTGACAAGCGTTTCTTCAAGGCCCTGCGACATGTAAAGTTTTCCCCGCAGCTACGCTTTGGCGGCGATGTGGCCGTGAACGTCGATGTCATTCTTAATTGGCTTGGTATATCTGAGAAGATGCTGCCGCAAATTTTGCACATGCAGGCATGCGACCGACTGGAAGGCCTCTTGAATCGCATCGCGGAGAGAAACTGTAAGAGATTGTAAAGACTAGGAGTAAAGCATGAACATTATTCGATTTTGTCGCAGTATTTCTTTGCAGGAGGGGACGGAGAAGAAAGGAATAATAATAAGCACGGAACAGCGCGTATTGTAAAGGCCGAAGTGGGGTTGTGGGTGTTCTGAAACGACCGCAATGGGTCGGGCGGGTGCAGCAATGAAACCCATCAAGAAGTAGCTTAAAACGCAAAAAAAAAGGAGTGAAGCAGAAGCGAATTGTCACCCTTTTGGAATCTTTGGGGCCAAATATGTTGCCTTTTTTTTTTGTGGCAGCGGCCAAAGTTAACGTGAGGCTTTTCCCTTGCTTCCTTTTATTTATTTATTTATATATTTCTTCCACCTGTGTGTACAAAGGAGAAAGAGAGAAAAAGAACATGTGTCTTTTAGACACCCAGACTGTCATGGCAGCTATGCGCCAAGATGGAGGTGTGGTTCAAGCCGCGTCCCTTACGGCCTTCCCTCCCCGGAGGCGTTGCTGCAAACCCTACTTTTGTCGAGCCCCTTCCCCTCCTCTACGCCTCCTATATATGTAAGGTAATGGGGGTGCTGTTGATTTACTTTCCGTTTTTCTTTCTTCCTTTGGCTCTCTCGCGTATGTGCGTGCGCGTGTATGCGTGGATGAATGATAATGAATGATGCATGTGGAGGAAGGAGTGGCATGTCGACAGAGGTTGCAGGTGGGGCGTCGTCTCTGCTTGCGGCGACTTTAGAGTTGCCGCCCGTGAATGGAGAGGTGGACGGGGAGGAGACAAAAAGTGTGGAGGTGGAAGAGTTACGGCAGGAGCCAGTGGAGGAGGTGGAGGTTGTGGATTTTTTGGAGGAGGAGGAAGAGCAGCGGCAGCACCCGACACCGTGGGAACGTCTTTACGAAGAGGGTTTGAAAAGAGAGGCAAGACGGCAGGAGGTGTTCGAAAAGGCCACGGCGCATCGGGTGGCAAGAGCCTTGTTCGATCAGCAGTGCCTTACCGCGGGAAGGGGTAGCACGCACAGCTGGAAGAAGGACTTTGCTGAGCGACAGCAGCGATGGTTGGAGGAAAAGGAGGAACGTGTCCGACAGTTGCGGGAACTGGCAGAGGTGGCTGAGCTAAGACGGCTGCAGCCGCCCGCCATCAACGAGGTTTCCCAGCACATGGCAGCGAGGGCGGGGCACGAAGGCCCGATACGTGGGTGGGAGGCGCACTACGCTCGATACGCCATTCGATTTGCCGGGAATCCGTCCATTCCAACGCAGATGTTTCGGCCCAACATTAACTTAAACGCCCGGCATTCAGGGGAGAGTGACGTGGACATCGGCGAGCGCCTTTACTCGGAGGATATGGAGCGGCGACGACGACTTCACGAGCTGACTATAATGTACCGACAAAATGAACTCATCGATAGCTGCACAGGGAAGCCGTACTTTACGCCATCTTCGCCATGGAAGGCGGAGGCCGCACGGACGCGGAGGGGAGAGGCCCGCGCTCGCAGCGCTGCCAAGGCGGCGGAAATGCTGTACACAAAAGCGCAGGAGCAGCGGGAGCGGCGCGGCAAGCTGGTGGAGCGCACACACGATGAACACTCCTTCGCACCTGAGATATGTAGACTCTCACGTAAAATGGCTGAAAGGCGAAAAAAGCGTGAAAACCGACAAGAAGAAGTTGCGCCGCAGCCTTCGGCACCACGCGAAAGAATGTCCAGACTGAAGTTAGAAATGTTTCTTTCGCGCGAGGAGGCTTGCCTAGCGCGGAGACGACAGAAACTGGAGGAGGCCGAGCGACAACGCCTCGAGAAACAGCAAGAGGAGTGCACATTTGTCCCCCGCATTAACAAGCGAAGTGTGGAGATATTTGAGGGGTCTCAGCAGCGCTACAGCAGTTTGTCACCGCCACTTGAGACGACACGCCTGGACGCCGTCGGTGCGACACCGCCAGCGGAAGACGCCGAAATGTCTGGAGGAGAACATCTCCTAAACGCGGTCATGTCGCCGCTTCCGTACGACAACAGCTCGGCATCCGCGTCTTTTTTGAGTAACCTGGGCAGCGACGGCTCTCAGCTGATAAGTGAGTTTGAGCACAAAATGAAGGAGCTTTTAAACGAGTGGCGAAGCCTTGAGCGTGTTTGAGGGCATCTATTCTCTCCTTATCATTGCTTCTTCTTTTCATAGTTTGCAGCCTGCGTGAGGGCGTAGTTTTATTTATTGTTGTCATGCTGTTATTTTGTTTTCATTCCTTGATCTGTGTTTTTTTTTTCCTCCCTCCCCTTGAGCTGGTGTAGGAACTGCTGCTCCCTGTATTGAATATGTTGTTTTAATTTTGGTTGCGTGCCTATTTTTTGTCCTCACTTTTTTTTTCTATATTTTCAAATACCGTTTATCGAGCATTAATCGTGGCATGCGGGTATCTCCCTCTGGCAGCACCGCCGTGAGGGCGGCAGTGAGGCCGCTGCTGCGTCTGTACGCCTCTTCGCGAACACACGCGCTATTGCGGTCTCTTCACCAGTCTTTATTTTTCCCCCTTGTTATTTTTGCCTCTTATACCTCCCTCCCGCTTCTTCCGCCTGCTGTTTTTTTTTTGCCCTAGCAAAGAGTGGTTTAGGTGCGGGGGTAAATGACGATAAGGTGCCTCACTCGCCGTCGGGCGCAGTGGACGCCCACCGCTCTGACGGTTTCCGTGCGTCTGGTGAGGCGCAAACTCAGCCCTGACCGCACACGCGATGAGGAGATTCAGGACCGCCAAAATGCATTCGTGTGGCATGAAAAGCACATCTTTCGTCCACACCAGCACTTCACATACGACCCGTCCAGCTGGAGCCGCCCACTGGAGGAAAAGATGAAAGCGAAGAGGAAGTTGTCTCTCGTCGAGCGCTTGCGGGCCTTGGAGGAGCGGGAGGCCGAGGCAGCGCATGCCATCGAAGAGGCAAAGGGACCGGAGGAATTGCAGGAGTGCGCAGAGGACGTGGATTATTTTTACTCCATTCAGGAACCTAAAGGAAATGCCATTTCATTGCAAGCTCAGGTGGAACGGTTGAATGCCTTGCACGTCCTTCTTACAGCTCCGAGGCACCTTGATACTTCGTTGGTAAAAGTAGAACGTCTGCGGCACGAGTACAGGGAGCTGCTGCGGCTTGTATTTGAACGTGTCCGTGTGGCAGTCGTGGGAGAAACAATGACATTTGATGCGTTGCTGTATTCATGGTTTCTGCTACTCCAGGGTGCTCAGCCGCTTTTAGAGGCTCTGACTGAGGGAGAGGGACATGCGGGGAGTCGGCTTCACGACGTCATTGTCACCGTGCGTGATGCGCTTGACACGCTTCTACTGCACGCCATGAAGCGTATTGATGCGGAGGGCAAACTGGATCTAGTCCTGGAAGGCTGGGTGGAGCTGTTAGATGTGGTAACACATCCCTTTACCCGACAAGGCGAAAAGTTGAGGGGCAGTCAAAGAGCATCATGCCACGCTTTCAATGTAGGCGGCGAAGGACTGGAAAAAAAGGTGGCGGATCGAGCCATGACTGCACTAGCGGAACGCATGATCACAGATGACGGCAGTGAATTGCTTGATGCACAGCATCTGCACGCCCTCTTGCGCAGCATGGTACGCTGTTCCTGCGTGATGGAAGACGCATCTCTTCAGCGTGCGGCGCTGCTGACAAGAAAGGTGTTGGAAGGGATTCTTGCAACTCTCAAAGGGGTTGTGGCGCCTTCGCTTCCTCACTCGATGCAGCTCTCCCTCCTGGGCAGCTCAGCGCGGCGTGTTGCCTTTAATGCAGGTGAGTCAACCCGAGGGAGAGATGCGCCCCGCCAGGCGGTGTTAGACCCATGCGACCCACCAGGTGGCATAAAGAGCCCCGTAACAGCTGCTGATGAGGTGTCGCACGCCATGTGTGCGGGGATAGCTCTCCTGCGACAGGCACCTCGTGCCTCTCAGGTTACACAGGCAAAGGTGCTGGACGCCGTCGATTTGCTCTTGCTGATGCTGTCGTATGCGCCAAACTACGACCTTGGTTTGACCGAAACGGCCACGTTTGTCTGCGAAATGGTCGCTGGTGGGGTGCTGGACGTTGACACAGGGACGGTGGAGCGACACCTCCGCGCGGTGCTTTTGCTCTCTCGCTTGAAATTTTCTACCTGCAACAATCAGACCGTTTTGTCTCGACTGTTTCTCTTCCTCTGTAGCCTTGCCCCACCGGAGTCGTGCCCCGAGCTGACTCTTCGGGAGTGGAAACGGCTTTATGGAACTGTCATGCATCAGTTGCTCTCTTCTGTGCGTGCGGCTGCGTTGAGTGAACACTACGCTCGTGGGCACAACTCCCCCGCTACATGGGAAGAGCTTCTGGCATTCGGCCGGTATAGGGGTGCTCTGCCACTTTCATTGTGGCACGAAGCCTGTCAACGCTACTTTGAAAGTCCCGCCGTCCCGTTGTCCTCAAAGTGCGCGCGTGCCTTACTCTCACTAAGAGCTCGCTGCACACCTTCTGCTAGCGTCGGTTTCGCACAAAAGGCAAACCCTGCTTCACTCTGTGCGGCTCCGCTGGACTTTGATTCAGTACGGCTGCTCGCAAGACTCTTGCATGTTGTCCTGGGAGAGTGCGTTGCTGCCGAAGACCTCATGAATGAAGCTGCTGCGTGGGGTGCGGCGCAGGATGCTGCCGGCGATGACGAGGCACTTTCTGCCTTGCTACTTGCAGCACAAAGGTGTGTGCAGGAGAGACAGGCGTGCAAGCATGCCGTGATGACGTTCTCGTAAAAAAAAAAAACTGACAAGCAAATGCATTTTTCTTCTTTGTCTTTGTTGGCTTTTCTTGTCGCCATCGCTGCGGCTGAGGCGTCATGCGCCCCCCTCCCCCACTCCCTTCTTACTTCGCCTCTGGCGCTGCTTCCTGCAAATAAGCGCACAGCCGCTTTTGCTGGGCCCCGCCCTTCTGCCGTGCGTTTCTTTGTTATGTGGGATGCGGTCTCTTGGCTTTGCTGCATCCTCGTTCTCTTGGCGGGTAGAATAGCGATAGCAGGAAAAGTACTATATCAAAGCATTAGTTGTCTCAGAGACAAAAAAAAAACACAGCAACGAAAAGGAAAGAAATAAATTAAAAAAAACACACACACACATAAAGAAAAGATGCCCGCTGAGGTTATTTTGATGTTTGATGCTGCAGGGGTTCTTACGACTTCTCCCTATCCAGCGACGCGGCGACTTGCAGAGACGTTGATGCGGTGCGTCTTTGAGCGTGCGGGGGCGCACCACGTGGCGTTTGTGGGCAACGGCTCCCCCGCACTGCTGGCGCAGAACTACTCCAACCTCTACTCTCTCATTCGAAACTTCACGGAGAAGGTGCGGGGCACACGGTGCGCCTTCGAGCGACTGGAGCTGGGCGAGATCAACCGTGTACAGTTCGTTCCGTTGTACCACGCGGAGATGGACTTTATGTTGACAGCGCTCTCCAAGCAAAACATGGAGGAGCTGGAGTCCCTGCAAATCATGCACCCCACACGCGTGGCGCCCATACGGAACCGCTACCCACTCCTTGCGGACCCACTGGTGCAGGAGCTGCTGCGGGAGCTGATGGACCCCGAGGCGTACTTGTGCACAATCGAGAAGGTGACCCCCAGACGCAATGTGTTGAACCTTTTGCACTACCTGCGTATGAAGAGTCAGCAAGAGATTCGCCTTGTGGTGGTGACAAACACATGGGAGGTGGAGGGGCAGTACGCGCGCATGAGTAAGGCGATGTTGCACAGCATGAGCGAGATGAAGTGGTCCAACTTTCCCACCACCTGCCCGATTGACTACGGCGGCGGCAAAGGAAGGTCTTCGTTCGTCATCAATGGCCTCTTTGATTCCTTTGTGCAGAGTTACACCTTTCACAAACGCAAGCCGTTTCCCGACATCTTTTACCACGCCATTGAGGAGACAATGAAAAGCCGCATGCTGTCCAGAGAATCCTTCGCGTATGACGTCAAGCCGCACATCTTCTTGTTTGATGACGTCCTTGAGAACTGCGAAACCGCCCGCCATCTTTCGGACAGCCCCTTTGAGAGGGTCTACTACGTTGAGAATGGAGCGTATGACGTGTACGAGGATGTGCTGAGTGCACTGAATACGGTGGGTGAAGTCGATCCTTTTTGGGCAGATGTGGCGGCGGGGGTGCAAAAGGAAATGGCGCCGTTTTTTAAACCACCACGTGACGCAAATGGAAACCCGACGTCGTGGATCAACGAGGAGATGAATGACTACAACTCCAATCTACTATTTCTGCCTCCACCGTTCTGCTATGCCTGTGAGCCACGTGGATTGTTTGAGCCCAAAAAGTTTCTTGACGAGGATGATAAGGACGCCATCCTTTTCTACTGCGCACAGCACCTGCCACAGCTATTTCCCCTTGAGATTCCTAGCACTCACACGGAGAATTTGCAGCTTATGCGCAAGCCAGGCTTTGCTACTTCTTGTGGTCCCATTGTTTTTGAGCCGATGCGGGGAATTGGGTTCTTCAAGACGTACCGCATCACCCTTCGCACTGGCAGTTACGTGCTGCGTGTGCAACCCCGTGGACCTGTGCCGCACGGAACCCTTGACATCCGCACGGAGTATGAGATGATGCGGTACCTGTACCACAATTCCGATGTCCCCATTGCGAAGTGTTTACTCTACTGTGATTCCTATGCAGCGTGTGGTCATCGATTCTCGCTGCGTCGCTTTGTTGAGGGAGAGGTCATTACTGACATGCGGAAGCTCACTCAACCTCGAATTCAACGCCCGTATTCGTTGCGTCGCCAACACATCAACGTTGAGCTCAACCCCAACCTCTTCTTCATGAAGGCGGTGGAGATGCTGTCTCGAATTCACGCGACGCCGCCACCCCGCTTTCTCTCCCGGACGAGAGCGGAACGCATCAGTAGCGCCAGTGCTACAGGCAGCCCTGTCCACCCGCTAATAGAGATTATAAAGGACTTGGTGGTGCAGTACAAGGCTGTGGTGGGCACTGCAAAGCTACCGGATGGCTCATATGTGCTTCACTCCAAGAAAGTGGAGCTCTTATCAAAGGCGCTACTGGACCGCTTTGACGAAACACGGCTGGGGAATACGTCGATCCCGTTCCCGGAGCAGCTTGTGCTGATACACGGCGACTACAAGTTGCGAGATCTTCTCTTCTCCTACCGCTCCTTTGAGGGCAGGCACAAATACCCGGCGCAAATTATCGGAGTGATGAATTTTACCTCCGTTGCCACAGGTGACCCATTGGTTGACGTGGCCAGTTTGGCTCTTACAGCATTGCTTCCGCGTCCGGCTGGCATTTGTGATATGCCAATGAAAATGCGGTCATTGTTTCCCACACCAGGGTGGATACTGGACAGGTACTGCTGCGCCCGTGGGTACATGCAGACGATTACCAAAAAGAAGCGAGAGGCCATTTTTGCCGTGTATCTTGCCACCGCGTGCCTCCGGTACGCCGTCAACACGTTATCTGACCTTGGCGAGATATTTCAGGTGTATGACTGTATTCCGCTGGCGGAGTCAAGGAACTTGTCACTCGCTGAGCAGGTGTTGCAACAAGGGCTTCTTGTGATGGGAAAACGTCCCTCCCGGCTCTAAAGAAACGCGCAGTGTATAGCCCTACTAGTTGCCTAGCAAGCTTTTCTCTTCTTTCCTTCCAACTTATACATACATGCATCTGGCGCGCTACCAATGTCCTCGCTTCCCTGCTTTGCCGATGTGTGTTTTTGTTCCTCTGGGCATGAGCCCCTCCACACCGTGGATGGCAGCGAGGGCGCGCACCCACCCACTCGCATCCAACACTTCCTGTATGCGCGCGGCGGACCTCTCGCTCCCTGTTCCGCATGAGCAACAACAACGTGCTGCGAGGGTTGTGTAGAAAAGCCAAAAAGAAATTGGAGTACGCAAGCATTACAAAAAAAAAATGATTAAATCCTCAAGAAGGAACCAAACGAAGGAAACAAAAAAAAAAAACGACGGCGCGGCCCCGGCGAAGAAGGGAAAGGAAAAAAAATTAAAGGGGAAAAAAAACTTACTGAAGAGTATTTCTTTGATTGCAAAAAATGAGAAGAAAACGGGGGTGACGCGAATCAGTCGTCACGACGGGCAAAGCGGTAGCGGCCGCCCTAGTGGACACGGGCGACGCGACAAAACAAGGGAGGAGGGAAGCGCGCGTGAACCAACGAAATAGCAGCCACAAGAACAAAAAAAAGTGGCAATTTACAACAACACAACTCCGGTTGAAAATGCAGAAGAAGGTGAAAAAGGGCGCACCCATTGAGACTTACCCAACTAGGAACGCCAACGCTGGACTCTCTCCTTATCATTGTTGCCTTGGTGTCAAGGGTGCGGCCGGAACTTTTGTTTTTGTGTGTGTGTATTTGGTATCCTTATTTCTTGCTCGCATTTACGTTTTTCCACTCCTCTTCTTTCTCTTTTCTTCTCTCTCTCTCTCTCTCTCTCTCTCTATCCCCCTCTCTCGCTAGCTTTCACGGTTTTATTCCACTTCGAATTTCCGGCTTCAAGATCTAGTGGTGGAGTGGAGCTGACACATTTTCCGTCTTCTGTTTTTTTTTTGTTTTGTTTTTTGTTTTTTTTTTTCGTGTGTCTTTCTTTGCTTCTTCTTTCTCTTCGTCGGCCATGAGTTGTGGCTACAGTAGTGATACTGTGTGGGGAGCCGCAACCCTGCAAGTAGGCTGCGAAAAGGGGCGCCGCTCTATTTTTTTTCTTTGTTTTTCCTCTTCTTCCTCCACCTGACACTAGCATTCGTGCACTTGCGTATTTACTGTTTCGCGCAACCTGTATTCAGTTTTTCTTTCTCTTCTCCTTTTGTCCCCTCCCACACATAGGAAAAAAAAAACGATGTTTTATCTTTATTGGTAAG